TATATGCGACACCCAGTATTTTTCCTGCTATTCTCTGGAGTAATCAATCAACAAACACTTATTAAACACCTACTGTGTGCCAAAAACAAGCTAGTTCCTCCCCTCAAGGGGCTTACATTCTATCATGGGAAACTATACACACACACACACACACACACACACACACACACACACACAGGTGTATATATATACATATAAATATATGTCAGTAGAAAATTCGTAAACATTTAGGAGAGTAGTAGGCGGGGCTGGGATCAGGAAGGACCTCTTGGGGGGGGTGGCGCTTGAGCTGAAGTTTGAAAACGCCGTAGACTTTCTCCACGGTGCCCACTGTATACACACTCAGAGCAGAAAAGGACCTTAGAGCATGTCCAGGCAAAGCTTCTAATTTTGTAGGGAAGAAGCTGAGGCCCAGAGAAGAAGAGGCCTTAGCCACGCCTACAGAGATGGTCAGGAGCAGACCTTGGGCTGACCCCCAGGCTTTCTGAAGCCCACCCAGGGTCTTCTCAATGTCCCTCCAATGTTTCCTGCTTGGCCAGGAAGAATTGAAGCCTCTTGAGAAGCTCTGTCTTTGGACTCTAAGGGATTCTTACCAGCCCGTCACTGAAGCAGGACAACATTGAGCCAAATTGATGTCACCCACAAAGGAGATTTGAAAGAGAATCTGAAAAATCCACACTATGGCTTTCCAGGCCTTCATTCACAGCCAGGATGTGGCACAGTGGAAAAGAAGGCCTCTGTGGAGTCAGAAGATGTGGGTTTGAATCCCACTTCTGCCATGGACTCCCTTGGGACTTTGGGCTAGGCCTCATCCCTTTCCCTCTACAGGCTTCAGTTTCCTTCTCTGTAAAATGAGGGGAGTGGATTAAATGAAATCCGGGCTTTTTTTTTTCTAATTTGAAGTATTATGAACTGATTCTGAGGATGCTGAGGCATGGAAAAGCAGCAAATTTCCACATATCTATCTATCTATCTATCTATCTATCTATCTATCTATCTATCTATCTATCTATCTATCTATCTACACATACACATATATATGATGTATATGTGCCTATATTTGTATATGCACATATACAGATGCATGTACATGTATATATGCACATATGTACAATATAAATATGTACACATATTTATATATGTATATGTATGCACTAAATATAAATATGTACACATATTTTATATATACGTACACATACACACAAAGGCGTACATATAATTATATACCTCAAGTTTTTGAACGGGATGTCCCAGTAAAGACTCCTCAATGTAATTAAGGTTTGGGATAAGGCTGAGTGGGATGAGGGGTACCGTGAAGATTTCTCAGAAGAATAAATAGAAAGTGTATTATGACTCAAGGCAGGTGTAGCAGCCTGACAGGACTAAGTTTCAGTTTGCTAGAAATCACCTGAGTTATGGGAGTCTAGCCCCAAGTACCACCATCTTATGCCATTGTTATCTCAGTAGTTCAAGTTTGCCAAGCCTGAAACACTTGAAGCCCCCCCTGTATTTTGTTGTTATACCTGTTGCTATATTTTGGTCATGGTAAACTTGCCACAACAGTACAGTGTCTAGCTTGACTGTACAGTTTTTATTGTTTCTTTGGTGACACTTCAGTAAACTAAGGGGCTAAATGCAGATATGTGTATAGTTTCTTTTGTTTTGTTTTCTGTTTCTATAGATTGTGAGCCAAACATTGGCCAGTTGGTGGAAGGGGGCTTTACCCATTAAGGTTATTTAACCTGGCTTTTTGTTTCTGTCCTTGTCTCCCCTCATCAGAGGATCCTGACGGAGGGACACCCTATTCTCAAGAATGGCAAATAAAAATTAATTTTCTGTTTTTCCTTGAAAAACTTTTAAGTGTGTTTTTTAATTTGAGTGGCATCCCACACAATTTTTATATCTGTTGTTATCTATGTCTTTATATATTCTATGTGATATACGTATATAAACATATTGCATTGCCATAGCTCTATGAAATATGTGCAGGGGCCATTGGAGCTGCTCACATGCCTCAGCAAGTGGAGACTTCAAGAACAAGTTCTAGCTCCAAGTTCCACCCCTGATAGATACTCACTCTGTGACCCTGAGTAGGACTCTCAGCTTCTTAGTAATCCAGGTATTTTATTTTTATTTCCATTTTAGAGGCTTTAAGAGTTTTAGTGATATTACCAGAAAGGGTAAGTATCAGGAACAGCATTTGAATCAATGCCTTCTTCCTCTCATACCATTTTCCCTGCCCTGGCAGATGTGGATTTTCTCACAAGGCCATTGGCAGTTCCTGCCAGACTGTAGGAGCTGGGGTGGGTGGTATATCCCAGCAGGGGAAGGGATAGCCCAACCCTACAAGGTAGACTCTATTGTCTGCATTTTGCAGTTGAGGAAACTGAGGCAGGCCGAGGCGAAGTGACTTGGCCAGGGTCACACAGCTAGTAAGTGTCTGAGGCTGGATTTGAGCTCAGGTCCTCCTGACTCTAGGCCCAGCTGTCTTCACAGCATCCAGCCTGACTTGTACATGGGGTGGGGTGGAGATTCTTTTTGTAAAATCCCTGACAGGAGCCATGCAGCTCTTCCTTCAAGTGGGTGAAACCCCCTACCCCAGGCAGCCTGCTCCCTTCTGGGACAACTCTGATCATTAAGGCATTTGTCCTCACATTCAGCCAAAATCTGCCCCTTTGCCTCCCCTCCTGCTCCCCTACCCTCTCCCTATTCCTCCTTCTGTCCAAGCTGGGACCAGTTAAAAAGAAGCAGCCAGGGCTGGAGCCAGCTGGAAGGACTCTGGCTCAGGGTCTGGCCCAGCCAACAGATGTAGGCACTCCTGTGGTGCACCAGGGCCCCTCCCTTTAGTTGGCAGCCTGAGGAGCAAAGGAGAGCCGGAGGAGGAACGCTGTTGGTCAAGGCGCCTTGCATGACCTGACTGGCCCTTGGTGCCTTTGTGCTTGGCATCTGAAAGTGGAAAGCTGAGCAGGCCGCCATTCTCTCTCTCTGGAAGTCTTTGTCTTTGGTCTGGGTCCCCTGTTTTTCAGAGATGGCTCAGAAACTCTAGAAGCCACTGGATTCAGCAGTCAGCCTCAAGAGGATACTTTCTGAAAGTTTTGTTGAGATTCCATTCAGTTCCTCAGGCACCTATTCAGTGCCTCTTTGTGTCAGGCTCTGGGCTAAGCCTGGGGGCACAAAGACAACAGGGAAAATCAATCTCTTCCTGGAAGAGCCACCATCCTTCTGGGGGAAGGGCATAGCCTGAACACAGATCAATGTCACACAAGGTCAGGTGTGTCAAAAGGGAGGGATTCAGGAAAAGGAATCCAGCAAAATGTCCAGAGGCAGAGAATGTTTGCAGGGAAGACTCCATGGAGATGTGGCATGTGAACTGAGCCAGGAAAGTAGAGAAGACTTTTGATGGGTGGAAAGGAGGAGCAAACATCTCCTATTTGTGGGGCACAGCCCATGCAAATGTGAGGAGGTGGGAAGACATCATGTTGAGTCTGGAACCATCTCTTTGGCTAGTTTGCGTGGATCATACCCAACATACATATGTGTTTGTGACACGGGATTATGAAAATTAAGGTGAGACAGGTGGGAAAAGTAGGTGGGATCCAAATTGTGAGAGCTTTAAATGCCATGCTGCAAAGTTTGTATTTTACCAGGGAGCAACAGGTAGTCCCTGGTGATTGTGGAGCAGGAGGGTGGTCACATCTGTGCCATAGGACAGTGATGTTGGCAGCTGATGGGGGATGGATTGAGAGCGTCAGGAAGCAGAGAGACCAAGTAGGAGGCTTTTCTAATTGTTCCAGACTCTGAGAGGCAATGAGGGTCTGCAGCGGGGTGATAAGGGCAGTGGAAGAAGACCCATGGGGAAAGATGGGATATGTTGGGAAGTTCGAATGGATAGGACTCAGCAGGTGATTGGATATAGGAGGCGAAATGGAGAGGTGAGTTTTGGATGCTTCTGGGCTCCACACAGTAGTGAGGGGCTGGGCCATGAGGATTCTAGCTCAGCTTCCTGCCTCAGCACCTTCCAGGGCATTTGGTGCTCTGTTGGCCCGTTCTGATGAGAGCAGGTGTGTCTATCTATCAGGGCCCAAGAGCAGGAGACCATGGGTGAGGCCCTGTCACTGGGCTGTCTGGGCTAGCTCTGGGATCTGGTCACCACAATTTCAGCGTGTTCTTGCTTTGCTAGTCCTTTTTCCGGAGCTAGCTTGTAAGTTCTCAGAGGGCCAGGATGCTGTCTCTGTGTCTGGAGAGCTTCAGGTGTTCTGCTCTTTACTTGACAGTGCTGGAGAATATGTACAATGTGCATATGCTCACCTTTTAAAGGCATGTATTATGTGTTTACCTTGTATTTAAACTGTACAAATACAGCGATATTTATTAGAACACTATACATTATTATGAATATATGTTATGTATAAATTATATAACCATTATATATTATAATTTTATAATATGTAGTTTATATATAATATATAATAATATAATAGTATATAATTACAATTTATTAATATAAAAATGTGCTATACAAATATTTACCTGGGTAAATGTTGCTTCTCCCAATGAGCTCTTTGAGGCTATGGGCTATTCCTTGCTCACCTTTGTATCACCAGCGTTTGGCTCATGTAGGTCTTTAACAAATTCTTGTCAATCGCTTGGTTGGTCGGTAACTTGAAGTCATAGAGTAATACCAGGGCCTGACGGGTACGGGGGCAGGAGGAGCATAGGTAGAACTCAGCACTGGGCATGGCCTTCCTGACTCCCTTGTACTGCAGATGCCACAGGGAAAGGGAAGTTTCAAAGTGCTCTTCTCTATGGTGGCTGCAGGAGCAGGCAGTGGCCAGGTGTGCCTCAGAGGCTCGGTGCTGTGCTGTGGCCATAGTAGCACCATTTTCTTGGGCTTTTTCCCTTTTTCTTTGTGCTGTGTGTGCCTTGTGCAAGGTGGCCTAGAGCACATGCAAGTGGGACAGCTAAAGAGTGATGAGCCAAGAGCTGCCTGTCTGTCTGCAATGGCTCAGCCTCTCCCTGTCCCTGTTATCATCAGGATCGGCGGTGGGTGCCAGGACCCAACCCACAGAAGTACATGAAGCTCTTGTGGAGACCTGTGTCAATGCTCTCACAATTCTCCTGTAAAAGTCTACCATTAACCTTCCTCTGCCTCCCATGTAAAAACCGTGCTCATTGAAGTTTGATCAAGTACCCTGGGCTGCCTCTGTTAGATCTTGAACCTAAATAGCCATGGCACAGGTCTCTGCCAAACAAGGGTTAGTTTATTCCCTACAACTTTTTCCCTTGAGAACGATCAGGAAGTGAATGAAATATGTGACCTGTGACATACTCTCCCTCAGAGGTAGTGTGAATGTCTGACCAAGTTAATGGGCAATCTCAAGAAGGGGCAATAAGATGTTTTATCTTTAACATCTCACAAGGTACGTATGTGACCTTGGTGAACTGGTACAAAAGCAATACTTACTGCAGTGTCCAAGGGTTGGGAGATCTCAGGAATGATGACAGCTTCAAAGGCTAGCTGGTTCAAGCCATGTCAGAGTGAGAGTACCCTCTCATAGCTTTCTGCTTATCCTGGAAGTCATCCAAAGAGGGGCACTAACCAGACCTCATGGCAGTCCCTTCCACTCTGAGAGCTTACATAGTGAGGAAGGTTCTCCTTTTATCAGAGTCCAAATGAGACTCTTTGCAGCTTCTGCCCATCACTTCAGTTTGTGCCCTCTGGGGCCAAATGGAACAAGTTTCATTCCCTTCCGTGTGATGGCCCTTCCAGTATTTGAAGACCGCTATCATCTTCCAAGTGAAGATTGGCCTTCAAGGTCCTTTTCACCTCCAAGTCTATGAGACTGTGTCTCCCTGAGCCTTCTCTTCTCCAGGCTAACCATCCCTAGTTCTTCAGCTCATCATCATGGGGCATAATTCACAGGGTTCTGGTGACTCTCCTTTGGATGCTTCAAACTTCTCCTTCTCCTTCTTAAAATGTAGCACCAATAAGAATGGAACACAGTTGCAGACATGTGGTTGGATTAGGGAAGAGGATGGCCAAAAGATTCCAGGATTCAATGTTCCTTAATGCTCCTGAAGGGCACATCAATGCTTTTGGTAGCTCCAGAATACTGTGGACAGATGGAGTTTGGAATTTACTAAAACCCCGGATCTTTTACAGATGAACTGGGCATATCCCTTGACCCAGCTCTACTGCTACTATGTCTGTATCCCAAAGAGATGAAAGAAAGAAAAAAGGATCCATAGTTTAAAAAAAATTATAGCAGCTCTTTTTATAGAGTCAAAGATTTGGAAACTGAGGTCTTGCCCATCAAGCAGGGAATGGCTAAACAAGTTATGGTATGTGAATGCAATGGAATACTCTTGTGCTATAAGAAATAATGGAGATGGTTTCAGGGAAAAAAAAACCTTGTGAAGATTGATATGAACTGCTTCAAAGTGGAGTGACAACAAAAATAAAAATTATACTAAAATTAAACAATGATGAAATTATACTATAGCAATAACATATCCTCTCCTCCCTCCCTCCCTCCTCTCTCCCAGGCTCTCCATAGTTTTTTCATTGCAGTCACTGCAGACAGATACATCTTCTATGTCTCACCTACCATTCAGGACTACCTGGGATTTCATCAGGTCAGTTGTGGCTGCCTTTGAAGTGTTTTTTCTCCTATATTAAATGTAATTTAATGTGGAAAGAGCATTGGGAAAGTCTCATAGGATCATATCTAGAACTAGAAAGGACTGTAATGATTACCAATCCCTTCCTGTTTCCATATGGGGAAACTGAGGCCCAAGAAAGTGATGCTACTTGTTCAGGGATAAACAGGTTGTAAGCAGGGTTGGGGAGGAACGAAAAGACAATTTACTACAACATCTCATTAAATGTGTACATGATTTACACAGGTAAAGCACTTTACAAATTGTTGTTATCATTATTATTATTACTTATTGTTTATAGATGAGGAAACTGAGAATGAAATTCCTCTCCTGGACCAGCTCGCCCTTGAGGTCCCTCCAGCTCCCAAACTCTGATTCCGTGGTCATAGCTCAAGGTGTCAGGGGAGGCTTCATGGAGGAGGTGGCCTCATGGAGAACTGTGACATGAAGGGCACCAGGCCTTTGATGCCCCCTCCTCCCCGCTACTGTCTTCTGTCCTCCCATCAGATATTCTGCTTCCCATGCATCCCAAGTTTCTTAACTGCTCTCTTTGGCATGCTGTGCTCATCCAGTGTAACCTAGGCCATTCTCTGGATAATCCATTGAGGACCATCTTATCAAAGAAGCAAACAGATTTGGTGGGACAATCACAGGTTTGAGCCGGAAGGGTCACCTATTCCAACTCCCTCATTTTACAGATGGAGAAATTGAGGCCCATAGTGAGATCTTGAAAGGATCATAGATTTTGAGTTGACTGGAAGTCATTTATTCCAACCTTCTCATTTTATAGGGGAGAAGCCAGGGGCCCAGAGAGAAGTGACTGGCACAGGGTCACACAGCTAGTGAGTGGCAAAGCTAAGATTTGAATCCAGATCCTCTGACTAAAATCCAGAACTCTTTGCACTACATGGAAATTAATCAAACATATGCTAAAGAATTCTTTCTCTCCCCCCCTCCCTTTCCACATCTTAGTCTCTCTTTCTCTGTCTCTCTCTTTTTCTCTCCCTACCTCTATCTCTCTCTCTTCAAAGTAGAGCAGCCAATGATTCTTTCCTTGCCTTAATGACACTTTTGTCTTTAAAAGTGTGGAGGAATCAATAAAGGGAAATTTACTGATCCGATACTCACTACAAAGAGTAGTTGGTTGCTGGGGTGGAAATATTGGGTATTGTCGGGGAAATGAACACTCGATAATAAAGCTCTTGAGAGAGAAAGAAAACCAGGTTCTCTTTTCCTCAAAAAGCTTTTACCTGATCCATCCTTACTAGTTCTCATCCTATATCTCTCATCCTTTTTTAAATCAACCTCCTCTCTCACTCTCTTCCTAACTCTCTTCAGGCTGGCTTCTGACCTCCTCCTTCAGCTGAAACTGTTCTTCCAAAGGTCCTCGTGATGTACAAATGTCCAAATCCAATGCTCTTTTTGCCATCCTCCATCCTTCTTGACCTTTAACACTGTTGATCACCCTCTTCTTGATCCTCTTTTCTTTCTTGGTTTTCACAACACTGCTGGCTCCTGGTTCTCTCCTGCCTGTCCGATTACACCTCCTCTGTCTTCTTTGCTTGATCTTCATCCAAGTCATGCCCTGTAACTCTGAGTAACCGCAAAGCTCTGACCTTGGCCTTTTTCTCTTCTTCTTCTAGACTGTTTTGCTTGGTGATCTCATCAGCCACTATGGATTCAATGATTTTATCTATGCAGAAGATTATTAGCTCTATTTATCCAGGTCTAACCTCTCTCCTTACCTCCAATCTAAAGTTAACAGGGCCCAAGCTTCTTTCATGATCTCTTTCCCCTCCCCAGCCCCTTCCCTCTTCTGAACTTTCCTATTCACCATCAAGAACTCTATCATCCTTCCAGTCCCTCAGTCTTGCAACCTAGGTATCATCCTTGACCCCTCATTATCACCACTCCCCCAATAATGAATGAATGAATGAATGAATGAAGCAATGAAAGAAACATTTATTAATCTCTTCCTCTGTGCAAAGAACTGTACTAAATGCTGGGGATATAAAGAGAAAAACAAGAGTGTGCTCGCTCTTCTAATGCTCATATTACAGTACACATGGAAGATAGCTGCAAGTCAGATGGAAAAGCCACATGGTTCTTGAGAACAGCAGCACAGCAGATGCTAAAGGCCACTCCTTTGATGTCATTTCCACTGATAAAATTATATCAGCTTTTGATGTTGAGCCATTGGACAGGGCCAAGGACTTCAGTGTTGAGCGCTTCACTTCCTGGGTTTTCAGCAGCTATGCCTGTAGAACCAGCAGGAGCAGACAACTGGTTGCATTTCTAGGTTTTCTAGGATTTGGGGTTGGATGGCCTGGGTTCAAATTCTGACTCTGCTACTTATTTGTGGGACCATATACAACTCACCTCTCTTGGCCTCACTTTCTTCATCTGTGAAATGAGGGGATTAGATTAGTTGGCCTCTAGGGCCCATTTCAACTCTAGATTTATGACTTGATGATGCTAAGTCATTTCATTAGACCATTGGTCTCAGTTTCCTCATCTGTAAAATGAGGGAGTTGGTCAAATGGCCTCTGTGACCCCTTTCAGCTCTGGATCATGATATTTTTAAAACAGTGCCTGTTCCCCTCCCTAGCCAGTGGCAGTGGGACTCCTCGGATATTTCCTGACCATCTGATTCTCATGATGCAAACTGAGCATTCTGAGAGTAGTTGAATGTTTCATGCTTCGCTTCCATCTGTTTGATTTCCTGGGTTTTGCCCCATTTTTTTTCCTGTGTGAATATTTTGTAGCCATACACCACTATTACCCCACATGGAAGAATGACACCAATCTTTCCATTAGTTCTTTACTTTCAAGCATTGGCAGGAGAGCAAAGTGATTGAGTCCTGTGAATAAGTTTTCCTTCTGATGCTGGTTTCTGCTGGTATCTAGTGAAGTCCTGATCCCATTCCAGAATATGCATATTCCTCTGCCAGGCAGCTTTCAAACAGGTGCACTTCAGAATCTTCCTTGCCATTGTGACCATAATTAGACAACAGAAGGTCACTATTCTTCGTTAATAAATAGATGAAAAATCATTATACTACAAATATACGCCACCAAATAGCTCTAAGAATTAAAACAAAACGTATGATTCTGGACCAAAAGTATCACTGATAAAATGATCATCCATGACCACATGGATGGAACATTGAACGATATATTTTTTATGATGCTTTTAAGAGAAGTTGTGATACCAAATTGTCTTGATCTGCAAATTCTGGGGAATGAAATACTCTAAAAATATGATGGCCTATTAGCTGAAATAAACACCCTGTAGGCACATGTCATTCCACTTGCTACTGTAGGTGTCCTGAAGATGCTTTCTACAGGACAGTCACCTGAATCACCACACTGTCATTGATTTACAAAGATCAGTCACCTCATTCACCTCATGCCAGTCACTAAACATCAATAAAATAGAGCTAGAGTACAATTTGTCCCAGGACTGTTTCCATCTGAACTGTATCAGACATAAAGAAGAGAATGAAATAGTGATGATGACGGTGGCGACATTCAGTCTTTGGCACAATAAAAGAGTGACAGGGGATCTAGAAAGTGTTCAAACACAAACTTAAATAGTGTTGCCAAAACATATTCATTACATCGACAGGCAGATTAGTACTTCCTCATCCAAAAGGAGGAAGATGACTGTTAAATGTTCTCAGAAAACAGGATAAATCAGCTGGAAATCTTGGGGAAAAAACAGGTCTCACTCAGAAAGCAATAGTAAAGGAGAACACCATAGTTTTACACCATTTTATTTGTCAAATGTAACTAAAGGTAGCCAAAGTCCAAATGGAGCCTATGGAATGGCCCTTCATGGATGACATCTATCTGAATTCAGCCCAAAATATGTTAATACAGAATCATAGAATAAATGACTGTTATCTTGAAGATTTGTTTATAGCCATGGAGGGAGAGCAACTGAGGAGCCAATAATTTCCATTAGTAATTTCAGAAGGGCTGTCCTTAGGTAGTCCCAGACTGATTCATCAATATAGACCTTGAAGTGATGAGTTAGGAAACTGTGAAATGCAGAAATATCGAGCATCTAACTAGAAGGACATTACTGGGTGTTCAGAATTCTACACCAGAAGGCCATTATCCTTTATAAACTAGTGAGTGACAAGTTCCTATACAATACAGACTTCCATTATTCTTGGGAATTCAGCTAATAAACCATAGTAGAACTGGAACATCATTGCAGACAGAACTGTTATTCACAACATCCTGAACATAACAAATCATTCCTAAAACTTCAAGAGTGACATTTTAAGTGATATTACCATGTCAAATATTTAAAACTTCCAAACTATATGGGATGAAAAGCCTTCAAAGTATAGAGACACAGTAGAAGAAATCTAAACCATGTGGACAGAGGATGAGGTGAAGGCCATGTCAATCACCCTATGTGCTCCTGGAGCTGTCCTGAGGGTCTTTTCTGTGAGTCTATTGAGAATGAGCTTACATCCTAATAGTATATTCTGTTATGAAAAGCAACCATTTTGTTCACCTAGCAGTGGTCCATGGGACATTGAATATTTAAAAAAAAATGAATAGCAGGATAGTGACTTGAGTTTTGACCATTTCTTCCTGAACTTTAGTAAAAACAATGAGAACAAAATAACAATGAAAATCATAACCATAATAGTAGTAATAACAACAACTAAATACCTGCATCTAAAGCAAGGTGTACAAAGTACCTTCTGGACGTGGCATCAATTGAGTTTTGCAGTAGGGCTTTTCCAGTTCGACAAGTATTGAATAAGTCCTTATTATATGCCACACGTAGTGCTAGGTGCTGGTGATAAAAACACGAAAGTCAAGGCAGCCCCTTCCCTCCAGAAACTTCAAGTCTCCTGGGGGATACAACGTGTACACAAAACATAAACAAAGTAATTTGGGAGGACCACTAAGAAGTGGGGGAATCAGGAGGGGGTGCCTTAGGTGAAGATGAAGAGAACTAGAGATTCCAAGAGTCATAGGGAAAGAGTAAGTGCAAGAGCTAGAATAGAACCTATAGGGAAAAAGTAAGCAGAGGAGTTTGGATGGAATGTAGTGTGCCGGCCAATGAATGACGGGAAATTATTCTGGAAAAGGGTGTTGGAAATAGATTGTGAAGGCCTTCAAGTGACAAATAGGGAAGTTGGCATTTTATCCCTAGGCCACTGAATCTCCCTGAGCTGAGGAATGACATGGTCAGATCTGGGCTTTAGAGATATTTATTTAGCAGCTGTGCAGAAGAAGGAATAAATAGGGGACATATCTGAGGCAGGGAGACTGATTAATCAATCAATCAATTAATAAATGTTTAAGTGCCTACTATGGGCCAGGCACTATGTTAGGCACTGAAGATACAAAAAAAGGACAAAGAGAGTCCCTGCCCTCTTGAAGCATATAATCTAATGAGGGAGTCAACATGTAAACAAATATATACAATAAGCTATATTCACAATAAACAGAAAATAATTAACAGGGCAAGGCACTAGAATAAGACAAGTTTGGAAAGGATTCCGGTAAAAGATAGGATCTTAGCTGGATCTCAAAGGAAGCTATTTGGTAGGTGATAAGGAGAGAGAGCATCCTAGGCATGGGATTTTCCTTATTGAAGGTCTTTGAACAGAAGCTGCTTCTCAATCAATCTATAAACATTTCTTAGGTGCCTACTATATGTTAGGCACTTTGTTAAGCACAAGGATACAAAGAGACAAAAGGCAGTCCTTCCCCTCAAGGAGCTTACAATCTAACAGCAGAGATGACACAGAAATATAAACAAAGCAAGCTATGCACTGGATAAGTAGGAAATAATTAAGAGGCGATGCTTGGAATTAAGATTTTGATAGTGGAGGTCAGGAGTCAGAGTGGAAAAGCAAATGGCCAGAGATAATGCCCAGAGCTGAGAGTTGGGAGTGTCTTAGTAGTGGAATAGCCAGGAGGCCAGTATCACTGGATCAAAGTCATGTGGTTGGGAGCAAGGTGTAGGAAGACTGGAAAAGTAGGAAGGGGCTAGGTTAGGAAGGGCCTTGAATGTCAAACAGAAGGTTTTAAAAAATTTGATCCTGGAGGCAATAGGGAACCATTAGAGTTTATTGAGTAGAGTGGGTGACGTGGTTGGACCTGAATGTTAGAAAAATCACCTTGGTGGGTCCTTGAATAGAGGATGGATAGGAGCCTTGAGGCAGGCAGACTTGCCAGGAGGCTATTGCAATAGTCCAGATGTAAAGTGATGAAGGTCTGCACTGGAGTGGTGGCAGTGTGAGAGGTGGTAAGGGGGTATATTCGAGAAATGTTGCAAAGTTAGCAACAGATTGAATATTGGGGGTGAGGAATAGTGAAGAGCTGAGGATAACTCCTTGGTTGTGAGCTTGAGGAACTGGGACGATGGTATTGCCCTTTACAATAACAGGAAAGTGATGAGGTTAGGGGAAAAGATAATGAGTTCAATTTTGGACACATTTAGTTCAAACTGTTTACTGGCAGTTTGAGATGTCTGAAAGGTAGTTGGAAATGTAAGATTGGAGGTCAGCATAGAGGTTGGGGTAGGGTATGTATATCTAAGAATCATCAGCATAGAAATAGTAATGAAATCTGTGAGAGCTGATGAGATAACTAAGTCAAGTAGTAGAGAGTGAGAAGAAAAGAGCCCAGGACAAAGTCCTAAGGGACCTACAGTTAGAAGGCATGACCTGGATGAGGATCTAGCAGAGCACTGAGAATGAGTGGTTAGACAGTTTGGAGGAGACTAGGAGAGAGTGGAGGGTATTTCAATGTACCTGGCAAAAGATGAGGAGATCTAGACTAGACTGGTAGCTTACTAATGAGAAAAGGGAATACCAGTGTGATGGCATTTAGTGATAACTGGCATTTCTTATGTTATTTTTGTAGTGTTCAGGTTTTCTGACTTGCCATATTCTGGGAGACCTATAATCCTTAAGTTCTCTATATACCCTGTCTCTGAGGTAATCGTTTTGCTTGTACAGAGATCCTGTTTTCTTTGAACATTATTGGGTTTTGATTTTCTTCTTCCAGATTGTTCTTTACTTCTGTGAATTTGCAATTTTTTTTTTGTTTATTTGGAAAGGATTTTCACCATGGATCCAAGTTTTTCTATCCTGCTTATTTTTGCTGTATGGGACATGTATTCTGTTTCACAATTCTTATTTCTCTCTTAAACCATTAGGGAATATCTTGCTATGATTCCATGTTCTCTTGGGAATCCACAAGCTCCTCTGCCTCATCAGGTATGTATTCATTCGTCTTACATCATTTATTCATAGATGTCTGAGGAGGCTATATTCCCTTCTGTTATTAAGGTCTTCCCTGTCGATTTAGCTACTTGTGCTCAAGCTCTTTAAATGAGTCTTCTTCCTCTTGACCAATTTGGTAATTTCAGTGTTTTTAATCTCTTTATTCCTTTGTTGCTCAGTTTCTCACTCTCTCCCCTTTGTTGATGTGTCCTGGAGCCTGGACTTCAAAGCTGTCTCAACTTCCTCTCACAATGGGGAATTCACTTTCCCCTGGGCTTGGTCTCTGCTCCAAGTGACTTCCGGGAAACAAAATTGGCCACTTATATATACAGGTCCCTGAATTTCAAGTCTAAAGAAGTCTTTTTTTTTTTTTGGCTAGGCAATGAGGTTAAGTGACTTGACCTGGGTCACACAGTTAGTAAGTGCTATGTGTCTGAGGCTGGATTTGAACTCAGGTCCATCTAAATTCAGGGCTCACAAACTGACTCCCTTTCAGAGTTCCCTTTATTCCTCAGGTCTCTGGCTGAGCACTGTCACATCATAGCACACTGCTATAAAGCTGACCCAAGCAGAGTGTGCTTCTGGCTTTTGACTTTCTGTGGTTTGGGGTATGCAGTAGGGGGAGGAGCAGAACTGAGTCGTATTGTATGTAGTGAATGGGCTTGTGCAGGAAGCCCTGCCAGGACATGGTGGTCGGTGGATGAAGGGCACTGAGTGAGTGCATTAAGGATTAGAGATTAGCCTACACTGTTAGCTCATTGGGTTTTTACCTCAGTAAGTTTCCTTGTGTCTTAGGTCATGGAGGCCACTGAAATTGAGTTTTCTCCTGTGTATAATTCTTGTTTTGGAGAGGTCTGAGCAGTCACAAGGATAGGAGAAAATGTGTAGACACTCATAGGTCACATGACTTAAACCATAATCACTGATATTTCTATAACTCTTTAATGTTTGCAAATCATTCTACTTACATGATCTCATTTGAACTTCACATCAGCCCTATGAAGTAGGTACAACAAGCATTATTCTCCCCATTTTACAGATGAGGAAATTTATGCTTAGAGAGGTGACATGACTTGCCCATCATCACATACCTCCTAAGCATCAGAGACAGGCTTCAAGCAAGAAGCAGCTAACTGGCATAATGAATAGAGTGCTGGGTCTGGAGTCAAGAAGACCTGAGTTCAAATCTAGCCCTAGACATTACTAGTTGTGTGACAATAGGTGAATCACTTAACCACTGTTTGTCTCAGTTTCTTCATCTGTAAAATGGGGATAAAAATAGCATCTACTTCCCAGGGTTAGAGTGAGGGTCAAATAAGATAATAATTGTAAAGCTTTTAGCACAGTGCTAGGCACACACCTAGTGACCACTCATTCTCGATGTGCTCTGCTAGATCCTCATCCAGCTATTCTTTTTCTTCTTATTATTTTCTGACTCCCTTTCCAGGGCACTGCCTTCTTTGAATCCCTGTTCTCTATTTCCATTTCTTCTGCAGCTATTAGTTATGAGGATAGGTTGTTAGTTTTTGACTCTATGGGCAAATCTAGTCTGAGCCACCAAAAGCTATCAAATTACTTGGTGTAACACTGGTCCTGGGAGGGTGGACTGCTCTGCATTGTCCTTTTCCTTTCTTGCAATCCTCATGACTCATTTTCAGCCTTAGAGTCCAGAGAAGATGAGCCATATAGGGCCATATGAGGAAAACACAGACATAGGATACCTGAGCTCTTTGGTATGGATGTATAAATATTAGTCAGGAAGAGTAAATCTTACACCTATTTCAGAGAATGATGCTTCCCTTAAGTTCATAGAGAAGAGATAATGAAACCTGTTTTCCTCCTCACAACAGGGAGGTGAGAATTACTGGGACAGAAAAGTCCATAGTCAGGGATGGTCACTATATTAAATATTTTTCCTTAATTGCTTTTGTCACTAGTGAATTTTCATTAAATGTATGTTGTTTTTTGGGGGGGGTTGAAATAATTTTTGAGTAAGGAAAAAAGACATCAGTAAGACATTTTAAAATAAGTCAATTTAAAATGTCTCCTTGCAGTTCTCTTGATAGTATTTTTCCTTAATTGTCCATTGGGCTGGCTTCAGGGAGCATATGAAGTCCCTCCAAGAGGCCAGCACTTTTGCCTTGATCTTGTAGTCAGACATTATCTACCAGAGCATGTTTGAGCTGATCCACACAGATGACAGGGCTGTGTTCTGTTGCCAGCTGCACTGGTCCCTGAACCCCCCAGCATTCAGGGAAGCTGAGCAGGACTCCAGCTGTGAGTATTTGAGCTATCAGCTTACCTAGAAGTTATTTTTTGAATGTGGGAAATGTGAAATATTCCTGCTGTCTTATGGTGGAAATATAAATCAGTCTAATGGATTAGTCTGGACCATACAGCTTCCTAGCTAAGGGATGCTTAACCTCTGCCTGATGTAGTTTGAAACACTTGAATGGGTGAACCTGAAAGCCTAACTGTTACTGGCTTGATGACAGCTTGGAAGGAAGTCCTGGAGTGTCTGAGGGATTGATTCTTGGTCCTTTCCATGTTACAGATATTTTTTTCTTCAATGACTTGACTAAAGTCATAGACAGGATGCTTTTCATATTTGCAGGTTACATGAAGTGAATAAGTATAGTTAATGCATTTGATTACAGAGTTTGTAGCCAAAAGTGGTAGGCTAGAATACTGTAAAGAGCAGAAATTAAATTTAATGAGAATAAATATAAAGTCCCTCACCTGGGTTCAAAACATCAACCTTTTAAGTACAAGGTATGGAAAATGAGGCCAAATTATATTCCTTTCTGAAAAAAAGATCTTGGGGTTTTATGGATTACAAATTCAATATGAGTCAACTCTGTGTTATGGGAGCCCCAAAAGCTAGTCCTGGGAGTCTTTAGTTGCATTAAAAATAGCACTAATTGCTAATATTTCTAAAGCATTTTAAGGTTTGCAGAAGGAAGAAAGGAGATGATAGTTTCCTTATATTCCATATGTTTTCATCACATCTGGAGTATTGTTTCATTCTGGTTGCCACATTAGAGGAAGGATGTTGGATAAGCTGAAGAATGTCCAGAGGACAGAGACCAGGATAGGCAAAGGTCTTTAAGCTCATGATGAATGAGGGTTAGTTGAAGGACTCTGGCAGGCTTCCCCTGGAGAAGAGAAGATTTTGAAGACATAAGAGCCAGCTTCCAGTATTCAAGGGTTTGTCACCTGAACAGAGGGATTAGCAAGGTCTCCATGGCCCCAGAGGGGAGCAGTTATAGACAGGTCGATGTAAGGTTCAGGTCATGGAAAACTCCCTTCAGTGAAAGTCTGGGGACTTGGGAGGTTCCCTCTCACTGGAGATCCCCACACCCAGGCTACACAGTCACTTCTCAGGTATTTTGAAAAGGGGATTCTTGTTCCACTATGAGTTGGACTAGATAGCCTTGGAGGTCTCTTTTGACTCTGGGATTCCCTGTATATGAAGCCATGATTTCATTAGTGTGGACACTCCCTTCACCAATGCATGATTTCTCTAATCCTACGCAACTCTTCTTCATGTCCTTATACAAGTCCTTCACAGCAGATGTACACAACACACTGGTCATATTCCTCTGGTGTTTTTAAGCTCTCAGGACAACACATGTGCCTTTCTGTCCCTCTACATTCTCATTCTCACAATGCAATTGGATCACCTGTTTTCCTTAACACAGATGTCCTGGAAAATTTCTTGTATGTCACTTCTCACATATGTCATACTGGCTTCTGTGTTCTGGCTTTGGTAGGTCTGTTTCTATTGCTATTTGGTTTGCTTTGTAATTTTGATTCTTTTGATATCATGGGATTTTGTAATTTTCAGACATTGAAAGAAGGAAGGGAGAGAGGAAGAGAGGGAGGGTAAAAAGCATTTATTAAGCACCTACACTGTGCTAAATGCTCTACAAGTATATTCTCCTTTGATCCTCACAACAGCCCTAAGAGGTAGGTAGGTGTTAATGTCAGCTTTATTTTATAGTTGAGGAAATAGAGGCAGACAGAGGTTAAGTGACCTGCCTAGGGTTACACAGTTAAGTGTCTGAGACCAGAGTTGAACTCAGGTTTCCCTAACTCCAGATCCAGTGCTCTATCCATGGTACCACCTAACTGTCTCCATAGAGTGTCTCTGGGACAATAGAGTTGTTAGAGATGGGATTCTGCAACCGTGAGCAGCTGAGGATCATTGACAGAACTGATGTCCTTCCCAGATGTGATCCCACCTATGCACACCCTGAAGTTCAGTTCTATTCCATCTCATTGTCCTTCTTCACCACCTCTTTGAGATATGCTTCAGCATGGAGTTATTCACTAAATTACCCATCCAGTTGTATGGACAGTTTTAAAAGTCAGCATTTTTCATCCACTTGCCTGTTCAGGGTGGATGGCCAAATGGATCCATTTTGCATTTGTGACTTCATTAGGGACGTTTGATGGGTTTCAGTTGCACTTTCTTCTGCAAAACAATGAACCCCTTCATCAACAGAAAACCCTCCTCTTATTTGAGGTTCCCTCAGACCCTTCCCAAGATACTGATGCATAGACACTTTGGGTAAATGTCTACCCTTAATTCACCTCATTGGAGGTCAGTACTCAGCAGACTTGTGAACAAAGTTATCTCCAAGTGTAATAGAGCCCTACCTGATTGCAATGCATGCATGTGACATGCTGTCTGAGGAGGTCCCCCAAGGTGGTTTTGGTCTATTAAGCCAATTGCATTATCTTCAAAATACATTTTACTTAAAAATAGCATTCATTTCCTCTCCTTCCTTCCTCCTCTCCCCAAAGCAAAGACAAACAAAACCATTGTAACAGAGCCAACTGCTTTATAACAAAGAAACTGAACACAGCCGAGTCTTGGATTCTCTCCGCCTCTCAGTAAGTAGAATGACTGCACAGCTCTTGATTCACTGGCTTCGCTTCATCTATTTTCCTTTCTTCTCCTTGTTGAGAGAATGACTTGGAGATGGGCATGGAAAGAGACGGACTTTCCTCTAGTCTGCTCATTTGGCGGTCAGGGCTTGAAGGCTCTGCCATTTGTTATTTTCCTGAATCATTTTATCTGACATACACAAATAGTATGCTTATTTGCATTTCTGAGTAATGCTAGAAACCCAACAGGATTTTTGAGTCCTGAGACATATTCACGGTTATAAAAATCTGCCCAGTACATATTTTTGAAAATAATATAACTCTTTCAATTGAATAAGTGCATACAACATGAGCAATAGACTTTTTTCATCCCTTCCCCCCCCCCCCCAGGGTGGGTATTAAGACTGAGCTGTTGCATGTCTTGATTTCAATGTCTGCTCTCTCCTGGCATCAAGTGAGGTGTTGAGCTGGGAGAGTCACATGGGCCTGGGGTGTTCTCTGGGTCATGGAAGACATTCTTTATGGCATCCAAAGAAAAGGAGGATTGTCTAGTAATGATTCTGTGTCTGTGTGCTACTGTTAGAGATAACTAAATTGTAGAGCAAAACCTCTTCAATCTGTATACTATCAACATTTTTGAAAAACAGACATTTCTGAGGCATGTGTGTATCCCAGTTTGGCAAGATGAACACCAGTGTGCCACCCTCTTTTCTCTGCACTATATGCCTCCTTGATGCATAAGCTCAAGCCCATTTGTGTGGCTCCCTTTTATACATGCCAAGGGTTCCTTGGCATACCATTGTCTGCCGCATAGCAAGGTGCCAATAAACTGAGCTCTTTTGGGTCATGGGTCCAGCCACACAGACCATGGGGATTCTCCCCTACTCAGATTTAGAATGCTCAGCAAACTACAGTGAGTCAACAACCACTTCTTAAAGTTATTTTTTATTCCATGTAAAAACAATTTTTATATTTAAAAAAAATGAGTTCCAAATTCTCTCCCTTCCTCCTTCCCCTTCCCCCTCTTTGAGAAAGCAATTTGGTGTAGGTTGTATATATGCAGTCATATGAAATATATTTCCATATTAGTCACATTGTAAAATAAAACATAGACTAAAAAAATAACAACCCAAGAAAAACAAGCTGCTTCCATCTGTACTCAGACACCATCAGTTTTTTCTCTGGGGATGGATAACATTTTTCATCACCTTGTTTCTAACCAGTGCTTACCGCAGTGCTTATAAGGTGCTTAAAACATGCTTGTTGACCATGGATGGCTCAGCCATTCTCAGCAATACAATGATCTAAGATAATCCCAGAGGACTCATGATGAAAAATACCATCCACCTCCAGAGAAAGAACTGATGGTGTCTGAGTACAGAGGGAAGCAGACTGGTTTTCACTTTCTTTATTTTTTCTTTAGGTTTTTTTCTGTCTATGTTTTCTTTCACAACAGGACTATTATGGAAGTATTTTGCTTGACTGCACATGTATAACCTGTATTGAATTGCTTGCCTTTTCAATGGGGAGGGAGAGGAAGGAAGGGAGATAATTTGGAACTCAAAGTTTTAAAAATGAATGTTAAAATTGTTTCTACATGTAACTGGGGAAAAATACTAAATAATTTTTTCTGAAAGGTTAACACTAGCACAACAGTCCTTGGTCTCAAGGAGCTCCCAATCTGAGACAGAGACAATCTGCAGACACCTACGTATAAACAGAATCCATGCAGCATAAGTTGGAGATACTCTTAGAAAGAAGGCAAGAAGATTACAGGGGCCTGCAAAATACAGGCAGAGATGACGAGAGAGTTGCAGGTAGGGAGCAGCCAGTGAAAATTCTCAGAGTTAGGAGATGGAGGGTCCTGTGTGAGTAACCATCAAAGGGCCCATCTCACTGGAATGAAGGAAGACTGTGTGTGGAAGGGATAAGAAGAGTGGAAAGGTAGGAAGGTGGAAAGGTAGAATCAGGTGCTGGAAGACTTTATGAGCAAACAGATTCTCAAATTTGATCCTGGAAGCAGTATGAAGCAGCTGGAGTTTCTTGGATGGGGGAGCATGAGCAGATTTGGACTTTAGGAAGATCAATTTGGCAGGTGAATAGAGGATAGACTGGAGTGGGGAGACATTTGAGGCCGGAAGGCCAACCAGACAGCTATTGCAATAGCGTTTAGGAGGGCCTACACCAGGGTCATGGCAGTGGCAGAGTATATAAGGAGACATATATTGTGGCAACAGTAATAGGGAAATTAGGAAGAGAGGAGGAATTGAGGTAGGAAGGGGATGAGTTCATTTTTAGACATCTTAAGTTTAAGGTATCCAGTAGGCAGTTGGATGGGGCAGCTATGTGGTGTAATGGAGTGCCAGGCCTGGAGTCAGAAAGACCTGAGTTCAAATCTGGCCTCAGACACTTACTAGTTATGTAACTCTGGGCAAGTCCCTTTACCCTGTTTATCTCAGTTCCTTCATCTGTATTATGAACTAGAAAAGGAAATAGCAAATCTCTCCAGTATCTTTGCCAAGAAAAACCCAATGGGGTCAGATTTGACAAACTGGTGATTGGAGATTCTGGAGTAGTATTAGGGGGATAGGACTGGACAAATAGATGAGAGAATCACCTGTACAGAAATAATAATGGAGTCCATGGGTGCTGATGAGTTCCTCAAGTAAAATGTTATAGGAGAAAAGGACCCAGGACGGAACTGTGGGGGATAGCTGATACTAAGGCATGACCTGGATTAACATTCAACAAAGGAAACTAAGAAGGAGCAGTCAAACAAGTGGGGAAGGAGGAGACAACAGTGACCCTACTCCAGGTCACAAAACCTAGAGAAAAGACAGCATCAAAAAGATGGTGATTGACAGTATCAGGAGATGAAAAGAGATCAAGAAGAATGAGGACTGAAAAGAGGCTGTTAGATTTGACAATGAAGAGACCATTGGTAAGTTTGAAGAGAGCAGTTGCAGTTGAATGATGAGGCCCAAAGCCAGTTTGCAGAAAAGGGAAGGTTACAAAGGGTTAAAAGCCAAGTCAACCTCTCTGTCTGTGAGAGTCATCATCCCAACAGCTGATTCCCTGGTCTTCATTGCATCTTCTAGCTCTGCCTGTGAGTGAGAGACCTCTGCACAGTGGTACCTCCAAGTCTGAACCTCAGCACCTGTCCCTGGAGAATTCTTCCTTCCTGGAGGGAAACTTTGTCTGCTGACTCCGCTGTCTGCTGGACTGTTCTTCAGGGTTCATGGCAATGTCATTTTCAGTCATTGACCCTAACGATCCACATAGACCCGCGGCCCTATGGAGTCTCTGCATTGCCCAGCCTGGAATGACATCTTCTCTCGGTCTCATGGGCAGTAGCTGGGGGGGGGTGTCTTTCAGCCGTGTCCCATTTATCTAGTCCATATTGAACCATGGCAGCCCATCAGGAATTCTGAGGACATAGCTAGTTGTTGATCTGAAATCAAATTTTGAGAAGGGGGCCCTGGTTAGCTCCAGGTACAGTGATTACCTACTCCATAAGTGACAGCTACTGCCTGATAACATGGAAGCCCCTTAAAAGCAGGACCTGTCTTACCTTTAGAATCAGTAGTCAATGATAGCCAATACACATTTATTAAGTACCTGTTGTGTGCTAGGCACTGCGTTAAGCACTAGGAATTCGGATAAGAAAAAGACAATTCCTGTCATCAAGGAACTTACAATCTCAGATGAAGACAAATACATGAAAGGAAGCTGACAAGGTGGGGGGCAGATGAGCTGGAAGGTACCCGGGGGGGGCTGTGATGTTTGTGGAGCCAAAACCAATCAGAGCGACTGATCAAGAGTTTAGCTAGAGAGGTCTGTGTTCTCACTAAAGAAAGGCTTTGGAAGGAGTTTAATGCTCTGTTCTTCAGTCTGCCAGCCAGAGAGGAGAGGCAGCTGAGAAGGCACTGAGTATCAAAGCTGGGTCGAACTCCAAGAAGATGAGATTTCAGGTCAGGTTTTCAGCCACAAGGACCTCTTTTAAAATAGATTATATATATACATACATATATATATATATATATAGATAGATAGATAGATAGATAGATAGATAGATAGATAGATAGATACACATATTTTATTTATGTTGTTAAATAATTCCCAATTACATTTAAAATATTTTAACATTCATTTAAAATTTTTTTTGGGTTCCAAATTTTCTCCCTCCACTGCCCTTGGAAAAGACAAACAGTATACTATTGATTATACATGCAAAACATATTTCCACATTAGCCATGTTGCAAAAGAAAGCACGCCAAAGAAGCACAAAATATTTTTTTTTTAAAAAAGTACTTCCAGATACACTGAATCCAACAGTTCTCCCTCCAGAGGTGGGTAGTATTTTTCATGATGGGTTCTTCAGAATTGCCTCAGATCAATGTCTTGATCAGAGTAGCTAAGTCTTCCGCAGTTGATCATTATTGCAATACTGCTGTTACTGAGTAACAAGAGCATCTTAATTAAATTTTTGTGTCCCTAGTAATTAACACAGTCTCTGACATGTAGTAGGCACTTAATAAATGTTTGATGATTGATTGATTGTTTCTTGAGCTAGACTGCATGCCCACTCGTATGCATAGGATGGGCTCATTTATCTCCCCCTCATGTAGATGGGGTAGTGAGGTGATGCAGTGGATACAGCACTGGTTCTGGAGTCAAGAAGTCTCATCTTCCTGAGTTCAACTCGTCCCTCAGACATTTACTAGCCGTGTGATCTTGGGCAAGTTACTTAACCCTGTTTGCCTTAGTTTCATCATCTGAGCTGGAGAAGGAAATGCCAATCCACTCCAGTATATTTGCTAACAAAAATCCCAAATGGGGTCATGAAGAGTAGCATACGACTGAAAAATGATTGAACATGTAGATTCTCTGATTCTCTGGAAGCTTGTAGGAGTTGGGAAGTTGATTTAATCAAGTTGATCTTGACATTTACTGGCAGAGATTCCTGGGAATATGCAGCTGATGCAGTTTTGTTCTAGTTGGACAGAGTTCGGATTTCCAAGCTGTTTGAAAAATATTTCAGTCTCTAGATGAATTTGGATTATTCCAAAATGGTAGCCAGGAGATGAAAGAGTTAATGTCTAATGACCTAAGTGTTCCTTCTGCTTCATGGAAGATCTTAGGAACTGGAGAGAATGGTTAGAATTGCCTGAGCCTGATTCATTTTTACTAAGTATAGCTGAATCTTGCTTATGATTCTAACCAACAAGCATTTATTAAGTTCCAGACACTGTGCTATCAGCCTAGAATACTACTAAACAAGTGAGAAAGTCCCTGCCTTCAGGGAGCTTACATTCTACTTTTGTGTACTGAATATGCCTAGTGCATCTACTGTATCTCCAGATAGTGTAGAGAGCAAGGAAGAACTAGAGGAAGCTTCATCTTTTCCCTTCCCACATATGTCCACAAAGCTTCTTCTGGGGTAGAAGAATGAAGTCTAATGTGATGGGCAACAGATCTTTAAAGTTCAGTGATTCATTTGTCTCTTCAAAACATTTCTTTCTGGCTCTGTTGTTTATTATCCTCTCCCCAGGCTTTGGATTTCCATGGTTGCCTGAAATTCCTTCATGGGCAGAATAAAAAAGCTGAAGATGGATCCCTCATGCCACCTCAGCTGGCCCTGTTTGCTATAGCAATGCCCCTGCAGCCTCTCTCCATCCTGGAACTACAGGTGAAGATATATATTTTTCAGACCAAACATAAGCTGGACTTCACACCAATGGCTTGTGATGCTAAGTATGGTGGATGTCAATGTTGTGCCTGAAAGTCAAAGTTTCAGGTAATGAGGTGTCTTCCTGGGGACCATCACACTTGTTCTGAGCTGAGTTAGGGCAAAGCTAAGCTGCAAGCTGACTGGCCATATATTTGATGAGAAAGGAGCAGTAGAAGAAGAGTCTCAGTGACTTGAAAGGATGAAATTGCCACTGTCCATTTACCCCCTACAGATGATGACATCTGAGTCAAAGTTATGAGCTGCCTGCAGTCAGTCCTAAATCAGCCAGGGTGGTGGTGGGAAAGCCTCAACCCAAATTAACTAAAAGGAAATCTGCTGAACAAATAGCTAACTCATGACATCTACATGGTGAAATTTGTAAGTTTTTCACCTCCTTACAAATTTCAATATGGCATGTAAACTTTCAAAACTTTGATACTGTAACTCCCCATAAAGCAGCTACCAGAGCAAGGAGTGGAAATGAGTCTGGTTTAGATTTGGCATAAGGAAAGCATTTCCTAACAGCTGAATTATCCCAATGTGGAATGGGCTGCCTCAGAAGGGAGTGGGCAAATTTCATCAGAGGTCGTTGAGCAAAGGCTGGATAATATTTTGCAGGTGTGTCAGAGTGGGAATGTCTTTTCTTGTTTTACCCTTTGAGGTCCCTTCATACTCTGCAATTCTCTGATTCTTTGATTTGATGGTTCTGGGATCTTGATGATTTACATGTTCTCTTGAAAGATGCAGATTGTGCCTGCCCATCCTCCACTGCTCTTGGCCATGTCCTCCCACAAGAACACCACACACTCAATGTTGTTGTGAACTTCCTTGGGTTCTCTTGGCACTTCATTAATAACAACAGAGTACGTGGGCTTCACAATACTAGAGAAAATGTCCTATTGGCCAATGATGGGAATATCACTGATGAGTTAAAGAAAGTTGCCTAAACATGAGTCTAAAGATAGCTAAGCCAAGGAGTATGACTTGGTTGTTCAATTCCTCACTTTCTCACTTATCAGGTGGATAGATCTGAGGGCATCTCCCTTATTTTTCACTGCTTTCCTCTGGTGAGAGAGAACAATGATAGTTGGAGGTAGTGGCAAATCTTTGCTTTTGCATCAGAGAAGGATACTGAAGTAGATGGGTATTTTGGTGAAAGACAGTTATATTTGGCCAGAGTTTATTCCTTCAGGGTCATAAGACATGTTGACTTTAAAACTCTGACATTTTTTTCTTCCTCTCAGAGGGAAGGTGCTTCTGGGTTACACAGAGACTGAGCTCTGCATGACAGGCTCTGGATACCAGTTTATCCATGCAGCAGACATGATGTATTGTGCTGAAAAAGATGTAAGAAGTAAGTTCTCTGGCCATCTGTACATTCCTCCAAATTATGTAATAACTTTCTTTTGTTCTTTCCATTGTGGGATCACCCCAGACATTGAGGTAGAATGCATTTACAAAGGTGGGAGCATTCAGCCAACAAGTGCCAAGACTATACAACATAATTTAAGACTGTAGTTAGACTCAAGTCAGTGGACAAAGTTAGACTAGGGAGGTCTCAAAAACTCAGAACTGCAATTGAAGATATTAACCAACAAGCATTTATCAAGTGCCTATTACACATTAGGAACTGTGTGCGTTCAGAAATGAAAGGAAAAACAAAAATAGTCCTTGTCCTCAAGAAACTCACATTTTAATGGAGGAGACAACATGTAATCAACCATATATAGTGTAGATAGAAGGTAATCTCACAGAAAGCCACTAGTGGGAGTGGAAGAGGCAGTAGGAAGGTTCTTCTTCAGAAGCTGGGACTTGAGCTGAGTCTTATAGGAAGCCAGGGAACTTTGGAGAAAGAGATGATCATTGCAGGTATAGGAAATTGTGAATGAAAAGGCAAAAAGTGAGATCAGATGAGCTAGATCATCAGGATTCTAAACAGCAAGTGAAGAGGAGGCAACAGATAAGCCGAGTAACAAGAAAGAGGCACTGTAGTTGAGGGAGTGCTCATGGGACCTCCCCAACTCTTAGGCTAAAGAAGAAGTTCTTAATCTGAGATCTGTGAACTTTAATATATGTATACATACATACATACATACATACATACATACATACATACATGCATACATATACATATATATACATACATACATATATTTATATATACACACACACATACATATGTATGTGTATATATATATATATGTAATAACTGTATTTCAGTATAATTGGTTTCCTTTGTTTTCTTATGTATTTTATTTTATGTGTTAAAAACATTATTGTGAGAAAGGGTCCATAGGCTTTGCTAGACCAGCAGAAGTATCCCTGACCAAAAAAATGTTCAGAATCCTGGTCTAATTCATTATTTAAAGCAGAGTTCATTCCAGAACCACGGAGAGCTCCACACATTTAGGGTTCTTTCTTTGATTCAGTGGCCCTTTATCCCTGACAGTACAGGGCTTCTCAGTCAGCCAGGCCCACCTGGATGTTAAACAGGGCTCAGGAAGTCAAATTTAGTCCATGGGGTGGTTAATCATTTTCATCTACCTGGGAGGGTTCTGAAGGAAAAGTGACTTCGGGCTCCTCACTGGATTATCCATAGAGTGTGGCTGCAGGGCAGGGGCTCAGGTCTGTCTATAGAGACATTGCTTTTCTCTTCACAGGGATTTTAATGTTCAGGGTCCTGGCATGCCCTAGGTTATGGGACCAGGCCTTTTAAAAACTTGATTCACATCTTGGCAGTTTAACTTCCTAGGCAATGAAGCAAAAAATCAACATGCATTTCCTAAATATACACCAAGCATTTTGCTAGGCCATGGGGATAGAAAAGCAAAAGAGAGACTTTCAGCACCCTCAAAGATCTGAGATTCCACCAGGGAGGCAACCACTAGCTCAAACAAACTGATTGTAACAAGATGTTCCTAGATACCAAAGAGATATTAAGAGCTATAATTCCCTGGGTAGGGTTGAGGTGAGAGGGAAAAGGAATAAGTGAACAGTCCATATGTATGAAGAGATATACAACATGTGAATACTAGAAGGGCTTTGGTGCTGCCTTCCCAGCACATCTGCCTAATTAGCAAACTAGATGCCAAGTGGTCCTGAGTACTTTCCATCTCCCAAACTCCCTGGGCATGAGGAGGTTGGGGAAGAAGGAGTTTGGGGTTGTGGAAAGATCAGTGCACTGGACATGAATCAAAAGACCTGGATTCTAGCCCCACCTAGGCTATTTGTGACCCTGTGATCTTGGAGCAGGGGCTTCTCTTTTCTGTTCTGAAGCATTTTCTCATCTGTAAAGTCTGAGGTTGAACTGGAAGATTTCTAAGATCCCTTGCAGAGCTACTTTTCTGTGCTTTGTTTTGTGAGCCAGTTAGAGTTAAGGGACTTGCCCAGGGTCACACAGCTACCAAGTGTTATGGGTCTGAGGCCGGATTTGAACTCAGATCCTCCTGACTGCAGAACTGGTACTCTATCCATTGCACCACCTAGCTGCCCCTTTTCTGTGCTTTTAAATTATTTTTCCACATTCATATGCAAAAATGACAGTGTGGTGCAAAAGACAGCAAGGAATCAAGCCCTGGATTTAAATCCCAGTTTTCTGCTTACTAGGTTTGTTATGACTATGGACAAGTCACTTCACCTAGCTGGGCTTCAATTTGTTCATCTGTAAATGTGGCCATCATACTAAATTATCTTTATAGTCCAAAGCCACCACGAATCCTAGAATCCTTGCATTTTATTACTGAGAAAGTCCTATGTGTACAAAATGACTTGACCAAGGGAGAAGACATGTGAATGACACATATGCAAATGTGTGTGTATATAGAGATCTCCATATATATGTGTCATAATGTATATTACATATTTATAGATACGTACATACTTAAGTGCATAGGGTAAAGATACCCAGTGTGACCAGTCTCTCTCCTATTGGATCCGATGTCTCATAGACATCTCAGACTCAATGCATCTAAAACAAAACTCCTCGTTTTTTCTTGCAAACCTTCCTTTCCTCCAGACTTCCTTGTGGCTGCCTTGGGGAGCACTATTATCCTTCCTCCCAGTCACCCAAGATCTACCTCTTCAAGAGCTTCCAAATCAATCCCTTCATGCTCACTCAGAAGTCCTCCCCACTTCTCACCTAGAATATAACAATCACCCAGTCGATCTCGCTGCCCTGATTATTTCTAATCTTCATTAAAGTTGCTCAAGTGATTTTTCTAAAGCACAGCTCTGACCATGCCAGACTCTCCCATTTGATCAACTCCAATGGTTCCCTGTAATCTGTAGGATCAGGCAGATGCTCCTCTGGTCCACATTTAAAGCTCTCTGCAACATACTTCCCCCCTTCCTAACTTTCCAGTTTTCTTTTACTTCACTCCCTCCATGTACTGTTCAGGTCAGCCTGACTGGCCTATTTGCTCTTCCTCACCTGTGAGGAATCAACTCATCTCTATGCCTTTAGACTGGCTCTCTCCCATGCTTGAGATGCACTCTCTCCTTACCTCTGTGTAACAGAATCCTGGTTTCTTTCTAGATTCAGTTCAGGCACCACCTTTGATAGGAGCCTTTCTCAGTCCCTCCAGCCTCTAGTACCTTCCTCTCTAACGTCCCCTTTTCCTAGCCTGTATTTATCTTGTACACACCTAGTTGTGTACATGTCTCATATTAGAATGTGAGCTTCTTGACAGCAAGCACTATTTTTTGCCTTTTGAAAAATTCCTAGCACTGAGCATAGAACCTGGAACATAGTAGGTGCTTAGCAAGTACTTGTTGATTGACTGCCTGATCTAGCTATGACACCAACTTTGCAGGAATCACCAGAGCTTCCATTCTTCTGATACAGCCTCCAAGGACCAAGGGTCACTTCCATACCATGATGAGGTATTTTTATTTCATAATCTCATAGACTTGGAGCTAGAAGGGGCTTCAGAAGTTATCTGGTCCAAAACCCTCATTCTACAGATGAGGAAACTGAGTCCTAGAAAGATGAAGTGACTTTCCCAAGGTCATCCAGGCAGTAAATCATACCTAGAACTTGAACTCAGATGTGCTGACTCCAAACCAAATTCTCTTTTCCAATGTACTTAGTTGCCCCATTGGAGGACAACTTTTGCAAAAGCAGGCAGATCATATAATTTATGTATGTATGTATATATATATATATGTATACACACATATACACACATATGTCATATGTACATATGTGTGTATATATATGCACCACACTTTTAATGATTTTTTTCTTTTTATAGAAAATTAGAGTGTGAGAGCTCCATAATAACAAGCCAGAAGTGCCTGTAAAATATTTTGAATTCCCAGAGGTCACTTTCAATCCCCATTGACTCCCAGGAATAGTGTCTTCCCTCCTAGATTGCCTTCAGTTAATCCTGTATGTATTTTGCATGCACTTGGTTGTTTGAATACTGTTTATCCCAATCAGAACATGAGATCTTAGAGGGCAGGGACTGTGTTTTTGCCTTTCCTTGCAACCCTGGTGCCTAGCACTGTGCCTGGTACATAGTAATTGCTTGATAAAGGTTTGTTGATTTGACTTGACAGTTGTCGGATCTGAGGTTACCATGTACAACCTGCTGACTTGCTGAGTTTACTAAGGAATGCTTTCTTCACCTCTCCTCCTCCCACAGTGACAAAGATGGGTGAGAGTGGAATGACCATCTTCAGGCTGCTCAACAAGAAGGCTGGCTGGCTCTGGGTCCAGGCCAACGCCATGCTCATGTACAAAGGAGGCCAGCCAGACTGCATCATTGCTCGGCAGAGGGTACTCTCATGAGTGGTGCTTTCCTGACATAACAGCCCCAACAGCACCTTCCCACCCATGCCCAAAGGGGTTGTGAGTCTTGATTAGTAAGTAGTGAAAGATAACCCGTGGACATAGCTTCTCCTTATGTCTCTGCATTGCACACAGGATGAGACTAAGGCTCCAGGAGAGTGAGCAATTGGTCAATAATTAAACAGGGATGGTTCTGATTCCTGACATAGAACTCCTGTGTTCCACTTCACTATTCTTTCTATCGAGACCCTGGGATTCTCATCATGAAGGAAAAATCCTCTCACTTGTGAGTAAACATGGTGCTACTGAGCCCACCACCAGTAGTATCCAGGGTCTTAGGGGTTTTTTGTCTGAGTAATGGGACTGGTCTTCCACTACGTTATGAACAACTGCTGTCCCAGTTCCCCTTCACATTCATGAAGTGAGTGGTTAGGAATGGCGAAGTTTGTGCTTAGGGAGCAAAAAAAGAGTTACTAGGCACATATATTGGCAGGCCACAGCCTGCCAATAAGACAGGAGCTAAGTCTGAGAGAGTTGCCTGAGGCTCAGAGAGTTGGGTGATTTGCCCTGCTCACAAGGCAAGTCAGTATCAAAGGCAGGGTTGAAGCTGAAAGCCAGCCCTTTATTCCCCATCATATGCTTCCCTGGAACTGACACAAAGGTAGATGAATTACGTGATATGGAACCCATTAGGGCCATGTTTTGACCAAGTGAACTTGAAGACTAGAAACATGTGTGTATACTTATATACGCAACACTCTTAATGTTTTTATTGTTTTTATGTTAATGTTTTTTATTGATCCTGGTCTGCACCATTCTGAGACTCTTGAAGATCCCAAAGGGATGAATGAGAGCTTCATGGCTCTCAATGCTTTGGAATCTACAGCTCAGCTGAATGGTGGCAATCAGGCCAAACTCCAAGGACATGCAAAGAGAGTAAGGGAATAGTGCCAGTTCTGGCTCTTTCACCAAGAAATGGGGGAATAGGAATGAATGGGAACTTAGATGCATTCCAACTCCCCATCCCATTTTACAGAGGAAGAAATTAAGGATCAGAAAGGTCCAGTGACTTGCCCAACATCAGACAACTTGTAAGGGGAAGAGCCAGGATTCATACCTAGGTCTTCTGATTCCTAATTTGATGTTTCTGGCTGCTATTTCTAAGTTCCCAATTATTATTTCTTTCCATTTCAGATTCAGAAATGGCTCCAAATTACTCTAGCCTCCATGTGTTAGCTTCTGGCTTCCTGAATGAATGCCTTTATATCAGGTGTCCCTAGACAGTCAATCAATATTGGCCTTGTACATTGTGAAGGACAAGCCATGTGATCACAGAAGAGACAGCCACTGTCAGCCACTGTCAGGGTACAGATACCTGATTACATACACAACAACCCCCCTAACCTGGTCTAGCACTGCCATCCCTTCCCCCTCATAGATCTTCACTTCAAGGAAGTGAATCATTGATCTCCTCAAGGGCAAGGTTAGTGATTCTCAATCGCATTGCTCAGTCTAGCACTGAAGGAAGGTACCTTTGACCCAAACACCAGATCTTTATTTTTTTAAGACCAGGAATAAGTTTGTAAAACTTCACTGATATTCTGCTCCAAACTGTACTTGCAATCTTTCCTGATCTCCCTACTGCTAGTGTCTTTCTTCCCCAAATCACTTTCAATTAATTTTGTATATAGCCTGTATATAAGGGGCAGCATGACACAGAGAGTCAGGCTCAGTGCCAACATGGGAGTTTAAGTCCGATCTTTGACACATGCTACTGTGTGACCCTGGGCAAGTCACTTAACTTCTCAGCGTCCCAGGCAGCTCTCCAAGACCTAAAATTACATAGAAGGTGCCTGCCTGGACTAGTAGAGTGAATTTCCTCACCTGGGAGTTCTCTATGCCAATGAAATCATAGCTGCAGTCCCTGTCCTTACAGTCTGTTTTATATCCCTATGTATATACACATTATCTTCTCCAGTAGAATTGAAGCCCGCTGAAGACAGGGACTGTTCCATCTTTGTCTTCACATCCCTGGTGCCTAGCAAAGTGCCTAGCCTAAGCAAGTATTTAAGACATGCCAGTTGGTTGATTTCTCATCACGGCCTAGAGGTGACTTTGGGTTCTCAAAGGCTAATCTCAATGGAGAATGAGGTCCAAAAAGTCTGGAAAAGTTGTGAGCACCCAAAACTTGGGGATGTGCAGCATGTGTTCTGTCTGAGAACCAGACAGGCCAAGTGCAGAGAGGCTCATCACTAGAAAGCTGCTACCAGCTAGTGGTCTTTTTTTTTTTTTTGGACCCTAGTGACTCATGAAAACCACTTCATCGGGCACTCAAGGGTTAAGATCTGCATTGGTGGAGGGCATCTCCATAGTGATGAAATAACAGAACAATTACTCAGGAAGCATTTGATGAATGCCTTCAATATGAAGTGTGTCATGCAGCCCTTGAAACATGTAAACACTTTTTCCAGTTTCTGTACCACTGATGTCCTTTAAGAATATCCTAATTTGGGACCATTCCAAACAAGTGTCCATTAGCCACTTGTTACGAGTGTGCTAACTGTGCTAAGCATGGAGATACAGAGACAGAAACGGTGTAGTGTTTGCTTTCAAGGACCTTACAATCTATGAGTTTGGACAGTCAGCTAATAAATAAATCAACAAGTCTCTACTGAACGCTTCCTATGAGCTGGGGTTTGGGAATACAAAAACAAAAAGTCCAGAATCTCAAAGAGCAGCGCAGCTTCCCATCAGGAGAAAAATGCAAGGATCAAAAGTAAATGATGGTTTTCTCTCCTTAACCGTTTAGCACAAGGACCAGCACCTTTTCTTTCCCTTGTTTCCTTCTTGTATCATAGCTGCTGTTCTTCAGTCGATGTAACTCCCCTGATACGCAGAGAACTGCCAGAAGCTCTCCCACTTTGTACCTCTCTCGTCCAGGATAACAGAAGAGCATGCGCAGCATGAGAAAATACTATGGAGGGGAATGAGAGCCATAAATCTGAGCTCATGTAGCCTGCAGGGTGGTGGGGGGAGGCAGGGAAGGTTGTCCCCGCTTAGTCAGAAGGTTGGTAGCAGCAGAATGGCATGAGAGGATTCCATTTCTTTCGCCCTCAAAGCAAACGTTATTGTTTCCTAGTGATTGAAATGGGTATTTCAGTTTGAAAGCATTTGTCTTCAGTGCTTATGAATAAGACTTGGCAGTTCCTATGTTCACTAAATGACCATTAGAAATGGCAAAACAAAACAAAAATGTCCACTTGGTCAAAAGATTCTAGCTGGATGGGCTGTTGAGATACTAACTGCAAATCAAAATGATAAGGAGAAGGTCCATTTTTTTGCAAGGCAATTGGGGTTAAGTGACTTGCCTAGGGTCACACAGCTAGTGTCAAGTATCTGGTCTGAGAATGGATTTGAACTCAGGTCCTCCTGACTTCAGGGCCAGTGCTCTATCCACTGTACCACCTAGCTGCCCCAAGAAGACCCATTTTTAAATGCAGCTGGTGGAGACATAGCTTCTAACCCTGTGATTTTTTCCTGCCTCTGCACCATTTCAGGAATGAAGAAGGTGAGGATCACCTGCACAAGTGGGCCACCTCATCGCTGCCCTTTAACTTTGCCACGGGGGAGGCTGGACTGTATGAGAACAACCACCCAGGCTTCCTCAGCTCTCTCCCTCCAAGGAAGGGGTTCAAGGCAAAGAAAGAAGCTTTTCTTGACCATGACTCAGCCAACCCCAATTCCCTCGTGGGAGCCATGATGCAGCAAGATAAATCTGCATACATTTCGCTGACTGTTCCTGCATCCTCATTCCCCTTTACAGATGTTAAGCAAGCCCCCAGGGAATGGTGTGCCAATGACAAGAGTGGGAAGATCATCAAAGATGAGATGGATTCCTTTTGACCATCATTGAGACATTATTTGAAGAAAACGGGACTGAGTGACATCTGCAAAACCATCCAGAACCTGGATGTTGATGACCTCAAATTACAGAAGTGGGAAGAAAACATGTTCTCAGTGAAGTGAGTGGGGTCCTCAAGCTTCCGGGGAAGACTCCAGCAAGGAGTGACCCCCTTCATGGATGAGGTGACACTCCCATCAGAGAATAGAAAGTATGTAGACTTTCCACCACTGAACATCACGACATCTTTACAGTCCCTAAGGCAACAGGCTCTACTGATGGGAGCTTCCCATCAAACCACTCCAATGAACCCACTTCAGTACTTATTTATGAACCCCACCAAAGAGAAGGATGCAGGCCATCCTCAGGAACACTACTGGCATTCTCTGGGCCCTGATACAATTGTCCATTTACCACCTGGATTGCAGGAAATCATACCAGACTTACCCCAGCAGATAGATGTATAGAGCCATGAGGGTCCTTTGACTTTTGGAATGTGCCTAAACTCCATGTCCACCCCTAAGATACAAGCAGCATCTGGCCAACCAAACCCCATGCCCTTTTCCTCACATCAGACCAGCTGGCATCCCCTGGAACCAAGTTTAGACAGTTCCACCACAATATTTCCACTGAAATGCACAGCATCTCTTTCTTTGGAAAAAGTAGGTTTTGAGAAGGAGACCCAGCACATTTCTGGGTGTGATGCTTCTGTTCAGCCAGTTCAGTTCCAGACATATGTGCACAGTATTCAGTGGCAGGATCCAGAGCCTGTAGGGATCTCATTCCCTGGTGCTCATCAAGGTCCTCATCAGGGTACCAAGTCCAGATATAGTGTGGACTCTCTGACCCTAGGAGAGCCTATGGAGGTAGAATCACAATTTCAAACAGAGAGCTCAGCCAAACCATGAGACTAGCTGACAAATTTCTTCAAGGTTGGCTGACTACCCTCAAGGGGACATGCTAGATTGGGAATGACTCCATTTTCCAGCCCACAGCAGGCCCAGAGGACAACGCCACCATGCTTTGGCCAAAAGCCCACTCCCCTGGAAGGTCATCAGCTTCCAGGGATCTATTCTTCCCGTTGGCCAATCCAACAGCAGGGACCATCAGTAGTTATAGATGTTTATAGTAAATTGCAAGACTTCTCAACCCAGCATCAGCAGCAGTTGGTGCAAGGGACTGACCTTGTGCAGTACCCTGCAGGCCAACTTGAGGACATCCTGGTGTGTGTCTCATTGGAGAGATGGGGCCCAGTGGCCATCACTGGACTGCCCCTGATCAGGAGGCCAGCTGCCAGGGAGCTTGGAGGCTCCAGACCACACAGAAGTCCTCTGCTTCTGTTACATAGCAGAGGGAATGCTTACTCTCCTCACCTGAATATCAAAATAGCATTTCCACTGTGGAAAGCAACATCTCTCCTCAGGCAATTCATGTCTTATCCTTTCTTAGACTCCCTCATCTCAGCGGTAAACTGGGAGAAGCCTCACCATCTTGCACAGACAGACTCACCAGCTCAGCCCCTGAGAGGGAAGCAAAGCTGGAACTGGACTGGAGTCTTCCTCCCCATCCCTTGGACCCTCCTTTCTCCCATGTGTTATTATTAAAACAATAGCCAGATGGTCAGCAGGTTTTCAGTCATGGCGTTCACTGCAAGGTAAGATGTAGAGGATTAACGAAAGCAATCGGAATAGCTTTCTAAACGTTTCATAGAATCCTGGGTAGGGAACAGGACAGTGTCCAGCACAGTGTCTGGGTGTCTGGCACACAGAAAGTATTTCATGAATGCTTGCTGATTGCCTGTCACTTTATGCACACACACACACACACACACACACACACACATTCACATTCACACACACATAATACACATATGCATCTACACAAGTGTATACACACATGCACATGAACACATACACACAATACACGTATACACATACATACACACATATACATATATGCACATGCATACATACATATATACATACACACACAAATACACACACACATATACACACACGTGCAATCACACAAACACATACACACACATACACACACATGCACACATTCTGCCAGGAAAGCTGAGCAGGATCAGGCAGGCTGAAGGCTTTTGGGTTTTCTGGCTGTGCTCAGCTCTGACTTCCTTTCTGCCAGAACAGCCCAAACAGTAGGAGGACTGCAGCATTCATCTTCCAAACACTGAGTCTCTTTCCCCTCTCCTGGGCCTCCCTGAGAATGTGGCCTTCAATGCTCTATATGCCAAAAAGTTGTTCAAAGTATACAAAATATTTGTGAAAGACCCTCTGGGGTCAACAAACAAGAATTGTCTGTTGGAGAACCAAGCCTTCTGGGCTTTAAGGCAGTGAGTAGGGGTGAGGAGGAGAGGAAGGGCTTGGGTAAAATCCTGGACAAGCTTCAGGGAGCTTGGAGCTCACTGGTGGGGAGTGCCAACCACTCTGTCCCACCAACCCAGAGCACCTTCCCTCTGTTACTGAGGAGAGGGTCTTTGAGAGCTGCCATGGCTAGAAAGTCATCCCCCTGTAGCCAGTCCAGTTCTGAGACTGAACCTCAGCCAGGCCAGTCCAGATATGTAGACACACCATCCTTGGTAAGGCCAAGCTCAAAGCCTTTCCAGTTTGTCCCGAGTGAAAGGGCTGGCCTTGAAGTCAAGAAGCTTTGGGTCAGCTCCTGCCTTTAACATATCCTGGCTGTGTGACCTTGGGCAAGTCACTTACCCCCTTATTGCCCCAACAGCTCTCTAAGACTACAGGTGGTAAAGTGGATGTCAACTTGCTCTGGGAGTTTCCTCACTGGCAGCTTCCTCTATACTAATGAAAGTCATGCTTGTATTTGACAGACCTGTGATTTCTTCAGCGTTAAAGAGGAGCTCTTAGTGAAGAAACCTCCACTACTCCCCTGATATATGCGTGTATGTGCCCCAACCAGTAGAGTTCCTTCTCTTTGAGTCTGTCATGACTCATTGCTTCCTTCATTCTCATACCTATTCTTCTGGCTGGAGCTGAGGAGTAGAACCTGGTAGATGATCTCTCCCTTCTTCAGAACAGCCAGATGTCAAAGAGGTGTCCTTTGATAACTGCAATGTTAGGAGGTTCATCACAAACCTCCCTAATTCAGAGATGGCATCTTGGGGCTGTCACATGGCATGTTCATGCCTTACCTGCTGTAACATGCACTAACTTTTAAAATGACATTTCTTGGATGACCCATCATTAGGTTTCCACTGTGACATACTGGTTCCTTTTAACCTGGACAGGCTCTAGCTGGAACATCTTCTTCTGCTCCTGGTAGAATTTCATCCAGGTCATCTTTCATTCTAATTTCAACTTTCTGCCTGGACTCAGACTACCTCAAACTGGTGTCTCATCTCAATGCTGCCTCTGTGGCTTCTCCTCTGCTCTCTGGGTGTTATTCAATAGGCAGACTGGCTTCTTCTCATGAGTATCATCAGGGAATGAGATGGTCCTTAGAAGGGAGTCTTTCCTAGCATTGCAGATTATCGCGTTAGCTGATAAACTTCCATGGCTTCTATCCACTTTGTATGGAAATATTTCTGAAGTGTGCTTTATGCTACCTGCTTTATACAAAATATAGGAAACATATCAGAACATTTTCTTGGTGACTTAGAGTCATCATGATGAATAGATATTTATGGATTATTGGAGCTGGGAAAGCGATAACCTCTTACAGCTCATCTAATCTGACCCCCTCAATGTACAGATGAGGAAACTGAGGCCAAGAGAGGGGAATGTTTGCAGGATATTAGTGCAAAGATCACTGATCTAGGATTTTTGGATTTTTCCCCTTTGGAGTGCCTCCTGAGCACCTTTCTCATTCTCCACAGTAATGCAAAGATTTCATACACTCTTCTAAATCAGCTCTTTAATTTTTCTCAGTATCCTGACTTGGAACTGTGCTATGCCAAGTGATATAAACTCATTTAGATAAACTTCGCTCTTTCTTCTTAGCTCCTGACCTCTCTTGGGTTTCATTTCCCTTAAGTGTTTCTTCTACTCTTTCCAATTTGAAGAACATTTATCTAGACAGAGGAGGCACAAGTGAACTAAGGCACAAGTGGGCTTGCTTTCCATCTGTTAGTATTGTACCATCAGGCACAAGCAGAAGCTCTCTCTTCTTCTTGTCTTGGGTATTTAATTTAATATCTCTGGGTTTCAAGCTAATGAGTATGGACCCAGGGATGGATTCATGTGTCTGTCATTTAAGGATCAGGCTAGGTAAAGTTTGTTGCAGCATGGGGTGGGTGGGGGTGGGAACCATCTGCATCTGGGGAGGGAGGGCCTAACCTGATCAAATCACGGATATTCTGAGGTGTCTGGGGTGTGGCTACCTTATTCTAATTCATTCATAGTTTCTTTTCTCCAACTAGCCAAGCCATCAGAATGAAGAGTCTAGTACCACAGAATTTCCTGCTACTCTCTATCCTCCCAAAACACAGTTTACCTCAAGTTCTGAGATCAAATCACTACATCCTTCTTGGGACCCATGTTTTTTTTTTCCCCTTAATAACAGCTGTCTTTCCTAGGACTAAAGTTCCTGATGCTTTTCAGTTGGTATGTGAATATTACAATGATTAAAAAAAAACACCTCTCCATGTGCACAAATCTATATTTCCATGATCAATTGCTCTGGATTCTGGAGAGTTCCCATTTTTATTTCCACATGACACTGTTGTTTGTACTTACAGAGGAGTGTAGGTAATCCTTACTTGATTATTTTCTCTCATTACTTGGCGGAAGAGAATTTTACTAGAACCAGGAAAAAAGAAGAATCAGAAAAACAAATAGAAGAAAAATGACATTAAATGTAGCAGCCTTTACCTGAGCCTTTAAGTGGCCTCTTCTTGCGCTGAGATCTTGCCCCAGTCCTTTGCATTTCCTATCCCAGGTTTTAACAGATGGCATATGAGCACAGGTGGGAAAAGAACATGGAAACCTGTGCTGTGGACACTTGAAGGCGGTTGGACAGT